TCATCACAATAGAAAATTAATAACTAACAAATTTGATAAAATGTTCAACAAAGTTTTATTCTTTACTCATATACTTTTAATTATCAATTATTCACCTTCATTATTTTACTACTCCTATATTAATTTAATTTACTCATTACATTTTATCATATTTTTTAAAATATTTAATATTTTAGAATTTATTCTAATAAAATAAAATGTAAATATTAAAAAAAATTATGAATTACCTTATTGAAAATTTAATCAGTCCCACGCGGACGGTCAAAACCTATCTCCTCGTCAACTCCGTTGACTCACCGCGTACTTTTATCTTTAGTTACCCATATTACCCTCGCATTAAAGCATCAGTCATCCCAAAAGTATGGGACAGCTTCGTCATTCCACTCTATCCTTTTTAATTTAACTTTTCTTATTATTTTTGTTTTCTAAATTCTAATAAAATAATCTCTTCAATAAAATTTCCTACTATCACACGTCTGCCATTGTTTTCAGCTGCCACAGACCACAAACCACAAATCTGACCAAAACCTAGGAGAGAGAAAATCGAGATCCACCGGATTCTCCACCGACTCGATGGAGATCGGACCGGAGACGGCTGCGGCGCCGGTGCCGGGGATGGCGGAGCTTTCCTCCGCGGCGCCGTCGGAAACCACGACGTCGTCGATCGGTTCTCTGCAGGGTGAAAACAGCAGCGGGGGCAAAGATAGCGTTAAGAACAGCGGTGATGGCGGCGGAGCCGCCAGGTACAATCCGATGGATGATGACGAAGAGGGCGATGTATGCCGGATCTGCAGAAACCCTGGCGAAGCGGATAATCCGCTGCGCTATCCATGTGCGTGCAGCGGCAGCATCAAGTTCGTTCACCAGGATTGCCTCCTCCAGTGGCTTAATCACAGCAACGCCCGCCAATGCGAGGTTAGGTTTCTTGGGCCGGCGTCATTGTGGTTTTTATTGATTAGAGAATTATTAGTGAAATTGTTTGTGTTATCACTTTTTGATGAGATTTGATTTCCCTGTTGTGATTAGTTGGGTTGCTCATGTGATGCATACGTCGAAGGTAGGGGTTTAGATCTTATATGTTCAGTTGGTTTGGTGTAAAAGATCAGCATAATGTTCATCAATTCAACTCAGTTGAAAGTTGAGATTTATACCCTCCCGAGACCCACTTTTTGGAGTCATCGATTTGCCTTATTTCGGTGTTTACTAAGTTGTTGGGAGGCGCACTTGAAACCCAATCAAGACAAGTGCATCAGCTAGCTTATTAATTTTGTAAATTTCTTCGTATTTCTGGGTAGGCCATGCGGCACCAACTGTTTTCTTCTATTTGATCATCTCCAGTTTCAACTATTTTGCTTTTATTTGTGAAGTATCAGGTGGAAATATTCTTTGTAGATCAAAGACGACCTTTAATATTTTGATTCTCAATGCAGGTCTGCAAGCATCCGTTTTCATTTTCTCCGGTTTATGCTGATAATGCCCCTATAAGACTTCCTTTCCAAGAATTTATTGTTGGGATGGCTATGAAAGCCTGCCACGTGCTGCAATTTTTTGTACGCCTCAGTTTCGTTCTCTCAGTTTGGCTTCTCATTATTCCATTCATCACATTCTGGATATGGCGCCTGGCGTTTGTTAGAAGTTTCGGAGAAGCTCAGAGGTTGTTCATGAGTCACCTGTCTACAACAGTCATTCTTACCGACTGTCTGCATGGATTTCTCCTCTCCGCTAGCATTGTGTTTATATTTCTTGGCGCAACTTCCTTGAGAGATTACTTTAGACATTTACGTGAGCTTGGTGGACAAGATGCCGACAGAGAAGATGAAGGAGATAGAAATGGAGCTCGCAATGCAAGAAGACAGGCGGCTCAAGCTAATAGAAATGTTGCCGTGGATGGGAATGGGGAAGATGGTGGTGGAGCACAAGGAATTGCTGGTGCTGGTCAAATAATCAGGCGTAATGCAGAAAATGTTGCCGCTCGTTGGGAGATGCAGGCAGCCCGCCTTGAGGCTCAGGTTGAACAGATGTTTGATGGTCTAGATGATGCTGATGGTGCAGAGGATGTGCCTTTTGATGAGCTGGTTGGCATGCAGGGACCAGTGTTTCATCTAGTTGAAAATGCATTCACGGTGAGTTCTTTTATAGAGGGTGGTACTTCAAAGATTTTACTTATATTATTTGCTGTACTGTTAACCTCTTCCTTCCTGCAGGTTCTTGCTAGCAATATGATTTTCCTGGGAGTTGTAATCTTCGTTCCATTCTCGTTAGGACGTGTCATACTGTATTACCTCTCATGGATTCTTTCCTCCGCCACCAATCCTGTGCTATCCACAGTTGTCCCTCTCACCGAGTCGGCACTTTCTCTGGCCAACATTACACTGAAGAGCGCATTGACTGCAGTTGTAAATCTGACTTCTGATAGTAATCAGGAGAACAGTTTGCTAGGCCAAGTCACTGAGATTCTGAAAGCAAATGCAACTGAGCAGACTGAAGCCTCAAACAACATAACCTCTGCAATTGCAGCTGACCTCTTGAAAGCCCAGTCAGTTGGGGCTTCCCGTCTTTCTGATGTCACTACTCTTGCTGTTGGCTATATGTTTATATTTTCATTCGTTATATTCTATCTTGGTATAATTACTTTAATCCGGTACTCGAGAGGAGAGCCCTTAACTATGGGGAGATTCTATGGCATTGCCTCCTTAGCTGAAACCATCCCGTCCCTCTTCAGGCAGTTTGTGGCGGCAATGAGACATTTGATGACCATGATCAAAGTTGCGTTCCTTCTAGTTATTGAACTTGGAGTCTTTCCTCTCATGTGCGGGTGGTGGCTTGATGTCTGTACAATTAGGATGTTTGGAAAGTCTATATCTCAGAGGGTTGAGTTCTTCTCTGTCTCGCCCCTGGCGAGCTCTCTAGTTCATTGGGTTGTGGGAATCGTTTACATGCTGCAGATCAGCATCTTTGTCAGCCTTCTTCGAGGGGTATTTATTTGTCATTGTTGTAGTACATATTGTTTGCCACTAAGCCGTTGCTTTCATAACTTATTTGTAACTCTAATTTATGATGTAGGTTTTGCGCAATGGAGTACTCTACTTCCTTCGAGATCCTGCTGACCCTAATTACAACCCATTCCGGGATCTGATTGATGATCCTGTGCACAAGCATGCCCGTAGAGTTTTGCTTTCAGTTGCTGTATATGGGAGCTTGATTGTGATGCTGGTGTTTTTGCCAGTTAAACTTGCAATGAGGATGGTCCCTTCCATTTTCCCTCTGGATATCTCGTAAGATTGTCTATAGTCAACTCTACCGCATTGCACTATTAATATACCATCTCTATTCTAACTTACGGTCCAGGATCTTATTTTTAATTTATGTTTTAATTTTTTCGTATTTTACAGGGTGTCTGACCCTTTTACTGAGATTCCTGCGGACATGCTTCTTTTTCAAATATGCATTCCATTTGCTGTTGAGCACTTCAAGTTACGACACACTCTCAAATCTCTCCTCCGGTATTGGTTCACAGCCGTTGGCTGGGCGCTCGGTTTAACGGAATTTTTACTCCCGAGGCCAGATGATAATGGTGGAAATGATAACGGCAATGGGGATATGGGGAGACATGACAGGGTTCAGGTGCAGGCAGATGACCATGAACATATGCGAGTCCTTGAAGACGTTAGACGTGTGGTGGGAAATCTGAATGCCGCAGACGAGGTTGATGCTGATGAACCTGCTGATCCAGAGTAAGTTATGTAAATATCGTCAGCGTATTTGTTCTTCATCAATTCAATAATTGCACGTTATCAGTATACGTTAATTGACACAACCGTGTGCCTAGTTTTCCAGCTGGTTTGGGTGGAGTGATGATAGCAGCTTGTCATTTTCTGCTTATTCTCTTCTATATGCGTTTATTTTTTGATGACATAAGATTTTTCAAGTTTCTGTCAACTATTTTTTGCTTGTGTAATTTGTGATTTCCTGTATGATCTCGATCATTTTTTGCCCATGTTCTTATAATCGTGTGGTTGATATTTATAGCCGGTGGGCCTTTGTACTTCGCATCGTGCTATTGTTGGTGGTTGCTTGGATGACTCTTCTTGTGTTCAATTCCACATTGATAATTGTACCAGTCTCACTTGGGCGCTTGCTCTTTAATGCCCTCCCACTTCTGCCGATGACTCACGGAATCAAGTGCAACGGTTAGATGAAACTCTCTGTTTTAGTCTGCTATTCTTGGATCTTTTTAATATAATTTTTAAATTCTTGAAAAAGTAGAGCTTAAGAAAGATTTCCTTCACTTCTCGCCAGATTTATATGCTTTTGTCATTGGAAGCTATGTGATTTGGACTGGTTTGGCTGGAGCAAGATACTGCCTTGACCTCATCAGGACAAGGAGAACTAGGCTGTTACTTAACCAGATATGGAAATGGTGTGGCATTATTTTCAAGAGCTTTGCGCTGCTGTCAATATGGGTAAAGAATGTTATTTGCTGTATTTTCCGAACATAGTAATATTGGATTTTCCGTATTGTGGCTATTATTAACATGTATCGATATTATCTCCCGTATTTCAGATTTTTGTCATCCCAGTATTGATCGGGCTGCTGTTTGAACTCCTCGTAATTGTGCCTATGAGGGTCCCAGTGGATGAAAGCCCGGTTTTCCTTCTGTACCAGGATTGGGCTCTCGGACTCATCTTCCTAAAGATCTGGACTAGGATGGTGAGCCAAGAAAAAAAAAATAGTAATGATAACGACAATTAATTAAATAAACAAATTTAATCGCTTTTTGATGATTCGTTGTGACAGGTCATGCTGGACCACATGATGCCCTTGGTAGACGACAGCTGGCGTGTGAAATTCGAGAGGGTGAGGGAGCACGGTTTCTCGAGGCTTCAGGGCCTTTGGGTCCTGCGTGAGATTGTGGTCCCCATAATCATGAAGCTTCTCACTGCACTTTGCGTGCCTTACGTTTTATCGAGAGGGGTCTTCCCGATACTCGGGTACCCGCTTGTGGTCAACTCGGCCGTGTACCGGTTCGCCTGGTTGGGTTGCCTCGTGTTCAGTGTGCTCTACTTTTGCGTCAAACGGTTTCACGTCTGGTTCACAAACCTCCACAACTCGATTCGAGATGATCGCTACTTGATTGGGCGAAGGCTCCATAACTTTGACGAGCATTCCGTGAGGCATGATATTCCGCAAGGTAATGATGCTCCTGTGAGGCGGAGACGTAGGTACGTGGCGGCGCAGCATGATTCGGATGATGATGATGAATAGATCGATTGAGAGGGAGGGGTGAAATCGGGATTTCACTTTCCTATTAGGTGTGTTCAGAGAGTAAAGGAAGGTGGTGGTGGAAAAACCGACTGGGATTTCGGTTTTGTGAATATGGCTTTTTTTCTAGGGCAAAAATAAAAAAAAAAGGGAAGGAAAAAGAAAAACCTTTTATTTTGGAGTTTGAACAGGTGAGTTTGTAAAATTAGTGGTGATATGAAATTTGGTAGTGTTACCTTACTGGTAGAAATTAATTTGAAGGATCCTATTTATTTTTCCATTGACTAGAAAAAGCCTGATATGCTGTTTTCGGCAGATTTAATTTCTGAAGTTAGTCTCTGTTTTCATTAATTAATGGCCAGATCTCGAAATCCTCATGCCATTGGATTTTTCATAATATTTTGTTTTTCATTGCAAAAACGTGTTTTTAATCCGACTCTTAAACCCTTCGTTTGCTCCCTCTCGAAGAGCTCTGGCTAATATCATCACCAATCTTCAACTCTTGGTTGTAGACATGAACACGGGCCGGCCTGTAGGTTACCGGTTCCGAGTACCGGCAACCGTGGCTTTACGGGCATGTATGGGTTTTTTTTTTCTCTGTCCCGGTGGGTTGGGTCACGGTCCCGGTCTGTTGACTGGCCACCTCTACTTTGTTCACACAAAAGTCACCCTACCTAATGTCCTGTTTCTTTAATGCACACAGAAAGTAAAAATACACTAGTCAGTCCGTTGGAACTTAAAACCCTGCAACATACATCCGTTAAAGCATTTTATTGAAACTTTAAAATACATCAATTAAAGCATTTTATTGAAATTTTGAAGAACACACACCACAGCCAGCACTCAGTATAACAATAGAAGGGAGAAATTTCACAACCTGTTACATTCATAAGCAAACTCAAAAACCAAAAAA